AGTATTTTAAATTTTATTAAAAATATTTTTTTAATTTATTTATGTATTTGATTCTGTTACGTTACATAGTGCTCCCTAATTTTCATTTTAATTGCTGTTACATTTAACATAAAATCATTTGCCTACAGAATGACTGTGTAAAATAAATGAATTACTTAATATTTATACCACGTACGGCCTCAAACGAACTTTGTGTCCGTACACGATATGGTTTTTCATTTGATTCTATGAATTATCAAACAAGGGAGGTTTCAACTATGTCATTCGAAAGTATACTAGACTTTTTAAAATCTCAATAAATTTACGATAATATGGCTCCCTTACGGTTTAAAAACATTTTTATGCACACATGCATACACGTATACTTTGTTTAAGTTTTTTAAATTTATATCTTGTGTGTTTGTAGGAATCAAAACTTGGGAAGAGGCTAGATTTTACGCTTTAAGTCGTAAATTTAGTCCATTTAGTAATGAAAATAAAATATTTGTTCTTCAGTTCACGGTCAAGCATGAACAAAATATCGACTGTGGTGGAGGTTACATCAAAGTTTTTGATTGTTCTTTAAATCAAGTGGATATGCACGGAGATAGCCCTTACCTTATGATGTTTGGTAAGTTAAAAGTGTGATTGTTAAAAAATTTTATCATTACGTCTGTTTTTCATTCATAGTTTTTTTACGTATCATATTTTTATACATAATGCAAGTCCAAACGCACTACGCATGCGCACCAAGTGCAAACCCCAGTTTGTGAGAGTGTAGTAAATCCAAAGATAATGAAAATGACGCCAGGAGTAAGTAAAATGTTTTCTAAACACTATTGCAAAAAAATCTTCACGCAGCTTGTGCAGAACGATTCTAGCACTAGCCTAATAATGTCATACCTGTGTTCAATGCGAGAAACTTATGCTGTGCGATCATACTCATACTACGTACTTGTGCAATCAACTGTCACTCGTTCTTGGCAACTCTGGCTACTCGTGCAAAACAATGACTAATTATACAGGACATTGTACTTGTTACGTGCATAACTATTTTTGAATATAGGCGTTTTGTCTTACCTTTAGAAGTTAACTGCGTTCTCAGTAGGAAAAATTGATTATGCAGCCGGTAAGTATCCAGTTAGAGTAAGCACAAACATAAGAAGTCCATTAAGCCTGGAGCTTGTCCTGGTGACACACACCACTAGATATAAAAACACCTTTTTTTCATAGTGCGATCAATAGTTTCCGCACAAAAAATACTGCTAAATATTTTTTTTTACACCATCGTGAAAATTTTTTCCCAACTCGTATGGAATGGTTTCAATACTCGTGTGATAACTTCATACTTGTGATCGATGCCCGTAGCTCATGCTGTATAGTTACACTTGTGCTACAAATTCGTACAATCGACTTGTACTTATTTCTTACAGTTCTGGTCACTCACAGTTGTTTATTACTACAAAAAAAAAATCTCCTTTTTTCTACTTAGAGTGCAAAGCGAAACTGCCGCTTACAGTATGAATAGTTAAAATATGCAAATGTATCGCTGAATTTAAAGCAAGAAATTAAATTAAACTATATAAATATACTGAAGTACTATGTATACTTTAGCGAATAATAGTAAAGGCTATAGTAATTGAATCTCTGTACATAGTATAATAAAGTTAATAAGTAACAAAATTTATCAAAATGTTCTCATTTTATAACCTCACAATTACAAAGTAAAATTAAAATGTTTGTTTTTGATTAATAGATGGATTGATAAAGCATATAGAAAGGAGTTTTCTGCAACTGTGACGAAAATTGATGGAATCGCTTTGTATTGTGATCAGAATACATAAAAAAATTAGTTTTGGGGCATGATCGTGTCGACTATTTTTGTTATTAAACAAATAGTAAAAATCGACGGGATTTTTTTTCAAATTTTGCTTATAACTTTTTTTGAAGCAAAACCATAGTCATGATAATGTGTTTGTTATTAAATTATCTGTTGATCGGTGCTGGCAAGATTATCTAACACCTGTTTTCCACAAAGTTACATAGCAAAAAAGTGAAAAAATCGTGTTCAGAAATTTCCTTGCTGCAACGTTATTAACTTTTATATTTTTTATAAAAATTCTAAAAATATTTGAATTTGATACCTCTTATGAGAATCTTCAACCACATGCAACGAGTTTTGTCTAACATCAAAAATGACGTCACAAAATGATTATTAATTTTAAAATTAAATTGGCTACCTTAAATCTCAGAGTTTAGCTAGATCAAATTTTAAAAATGAATTTTGTTATGGATACAAAAAACGTTAATACGAAAGAAAAAAATTAGACATTTTGACGAACTATATACCATTCTCTGAACGGTGGGTTGTATGTAAAGTCTTTTTTAAGGTAGCAAATGAGTCCCTTCAGGGAGCACTATAGTACGTCAAAATCTTTAAGTGTAATATTTTTTTTATTATTGTTAATATGTGTAATATTTTATCAATTAGGTGGCTGTTTATAAAAAGGTACAGGTTACTTGAATAATGAACTGTGGCAACTTCATTACCTAATGTTTTTAGGTGNAGTTGTAATAAACACTAAACAGTTAGAAACTTTTTCAAATAAGATATTGCAATAATTTCTTTTCTTTTAATTCATTTAATTAAATATTTAAAGTGTACTCTAAGATCAAAAAATGGTTGCAAAACAGTAAATAATAAAACGTTAGAGTTGTTTATGCTGCAAAATTGAATTTTGTAAGAAATTAGGGTCCAAATGAAAAAAAGGTAATTGTTGTCGGATAAATGACATCGTCTCCGGGGCTATTTTGCGGTTGCAGTCTGATGGCGCTATTGTGGCGAATTCTACTATTCCTACCGAGGACTTTTAAAAACACCCTCGGTAGGAAAAACTTTTTTTTTCTTGATATTAAAGTTTTTAGTATCTGTAGCCAAATCCATTTCAAAACTTCGATCTAGCCATTCTGTGAGATTAAGGGCAGCCAATTTAGTTTTTAAATTAATCATAATTTTGTGATATCATTTTTGAAATGGGACAAAAATCGTTCTGCATGATTGAAGATTCCAGTAAGAGGTATCGAATTCAAAATAAAAAAATTTTTATGTAATAATGAAAAGGTTAATAATGTTGCAAAATTAAAGATTAAAGTGTTGATTTTTTTTTTTTCTGTATAACTTGAAAAATAGGTTTCAGATAACCTAACCAGCACCGATCGATGAATGATTGAATAACGAACAAATTATAGTAATTCAAAACAAAGCATCCAAAAACTGTGAGAGAAGAAGATCAAAGAAACAAGTAAGTTAAGGGCTATGCTGTTCATGTATGTTAATGTATACATTTGTAATAAACGAATTGTATAATTATAAGATAACTTACAAATTTGTTAAGAGTAACGTCAAATGGGGAAGTAATGTGTCTATACTCAAAGCAACGTCGGTAATGTGTACATAAGTTCATAAAACTGGGTATAGTATGAGAAGGTATACATGTAGGAATCGTTGTCAACTACAAGAGAGAGAAAAATGTGTTTCGTCCCGAGAGCACGCCAGGGCTCATCAGTAAGCCTGATGACGTGCTCCCTGCCTAAGACACAGGAGAGATGTAGGCTCAGATTGACTCGATCGCGCTTATATATTAATCGTGCGGGAATTTCGCCGCTGGACGGGAGAGAACTATTAGGGTATTGGCCACCTGGCGAGTGGAGCCTGAAGCGCGAGAGATGTGAGACGCCACATACATGCATAGTACACACTTAAGAGACATAAATAAAGTCCAGGAAATTGAAGAAGTTGAATGTAAAACAAACTTATTTGAGATTTTTGACATTGTTTAGGGTAAGAGTAATCCCCATAAAAATACCTTTTAACAAAGCAAAAAGGTTAGGTAAGTTTGATGTGTTGTTGAATTAATATTTTAATTTAAGGAATTGCTGAAGTCTTTATACGCTAGCAATGAATAGTATATTTTTTTTAATGAATCTGTAGCCTTGACAAGTTCTGAAATTCAGAAATAAAAATTGTAGATTTTTTTTGCGCAACATACATTTTGTATGACACTCGTATTGTAATACTGTTTAGTACTCGTACCTTGACAACATCAAACTAAATAATATTGACTGTTGACTGGTACTTCATGCAAATCTCACATAAAATACAATAATGCCTTGCTATGTCAAAAGTATATGAAAATATTAGCGCATTATTTTAATCCATGAAAGAAAAGGTTTATATACAGTACCACTCGAAAGTCAATATTATTTAGTTTGATTTTGTTAAAGTACAAGTACTAAACAATATTATAATACGAGTGTCATACAAAATGTATGTTGCGCAAACAAAAAATCTACCGTTTTTATATTTAGATTTCAGAACTTGTCAAGGCTACAGATTCAATAGATAGAATATACTATTCATTGCCAGCATACAAAGACTTTAGCAATTACTTCCATTAAAATATTAACTCAACAACACTTGAAACTTACCTAACTTTTTTGTTTTGTTAAAAGGTATTTTTTGGAGAAATGATAACTTTTCAGGAAAATAATATTTTTTAAATGTTTGTAATAAAAAATTTTATTACATCAGATATTGCTACTACTAGAAAATACTGGATAGAAACAAAGTCTGTACAACGCTTTTTTATTTTTCTTTCTTTTATTGAACTACTTTATCATTTGATTTCTTGAGGTTTAGTGCATAAGCACACGATCAGTAAGAGTTAATTTAGG